CTGATGAAAGCTACAGAAAGACAGACTAAAGAGAAACCCACAGAAACAAAAGGCTTTGTGCTTCTTCGAATATTTCATATTTGGAAAGATAATTTTTTTTAAAACTGACTTTACTTTCTCCTTAATGAATGTCTCATATCCAAGTCTCATTATCAAACCTCTCCTATTTCAAATGTCAAAACTAGTAACTTTTAGAAATAACAAGCAGTGTATCCCTACTCCCAAACTGTAAATCCATGCCATCAATTATTGACATTTTAATTGCCTAGTTAGCAAATACTCTTCAGCTGTCTACTGAAACTGCTAAGCAATGAAGTAAACGTGGCAATAAGACATTAGTTTGACAATGATTGCCAAATTTGATAAAAAAATCTTGATACTGCTATTAATATATTAACAGATATATAAGACTGAATGATTTATTTTGCTCAACCCATTTAAAATTAGCACCAGAGAGGAAGATGTGTGTCCTTAGTAGTACCTGCAGTGAGAACCTTACCATTCACAGCACATCTACCTCCTTTCCCTTGGTTTATTTTAAGAACTTATAAATGGAAGGACACTTCCAGCTGTGTCAGTCTATCAGAAGATAGCCTGGTTCAAACTTGTGTTCACTGCACTGATATCAGGCAGTAATAACTCTTCTAACCTTATGAGGTGAGGAAATAAGTCTTGGTGGCACCAGGAAATTGTATAAATATAAGCAGTTTACTTGGTTGGGATTTAAATAATATTTTAGCTTAACCTCATTAAAAAAAAACAAATAACCATCTGTTTACCTGGAAGTGACAAAGGTATTGTGGAATTCCAAGACCTGTGCTCCCTCTCCAGCAGGGCATTTARGCATAAACTGAAAACTGAGAAAACATTTTGCCAGCCTGAGAGCACARAAGGTGCATCACAAAAGGGGTGGCACACTGGGTCAGTGTCCCTGTGCTCCTGCCACAGCCTTGGGAACCAAACAGAGGCATTCATAAGGCATTGAAAATCTGAGTTSTGTTACAGGATCACAGTTTGCTCCTTTACTCCCTCCCCACTCACATCCTTCCAGATCAAGGACRCGTCTCCACAGCTCTACAGGCAGATGAAAGTGTGTTCTTGCCATGCTGCAAGCTGACAAAAGCTATGTAAAGTCATTTCACGTTCTTGTGACCCTCATGAATAAAGCCCCTGCTGAAAGGTACAGTGGATTAGCTTGGGCTCCATGCCTGATTTAGACAGTKTGCATGAGCTGAAAAACACAGAGAAACACTGCAAAGTATTTTTTGTTAACAGAACCACTTGTATAGGTATAGATTATATATGYATGCAAACTACAGGAGCTTCTGGTTATAATCAGCGCCTTATCTCACTTCATATAGTTCATATATCTTACTTCATATTCTATATATGCATGTAGCAATGCAAAGGGATCAGGAATCTCAGGGAAATATTGCCAGTGAAGTGCTGTGTTTTAGTTTACTAACTTCTGAAATACCTTGTTATGACTAATAGGCAGCCTTATCAGGTCAAGACAAAGGATGAGTACCAGATTCCACTTTTACCTTATAGTATATGTTTTAATAATTGTATTTTATTTTATACATGCACACATAAACTCCAGCAGCCATCTGAAAAGGCAAAGGATTTCTTTAGCCTTTTGTAATTTCTTTTGTGTAACCTTTTAAAAACTTGATTTTCCTAYGCTAATGCTTTTGCAGATAAGGAGCAAGAATGAAACTTTTTTTTGTGCTACTGTGTCAAAAGCTTTTGGAATTTCCTGCAGGGACATAACATCAAGATGAAGTCTCTTCGTGGACAGCCTTAATAACTCTGCAAAGCAAAGTGTGACCTGCTTTAACACAATCTCTTAAGAGGACAGCAGTAAAAATACTGTACCTATTGACTGAAGTTGGAAGAAAAGAGRTGCGAGAAATGATGGAACTGTCCATAACACACCTCGCACTCACCTGAGACTACTGAGAGCAATAGCAAGGTCAAGGCTTGGCTCTGAGCATGACATTTGAACTAGAAAAAGAAAACAGAAGTCCCTCCGTGGATTTTCAAGGGAACTGTGAACCCTTGCTACCTGCCCATAAACAGGCTTGTTTTTCCAGGATGTGACCTCAAGCACCAGCTCATGTCACTGCTGCACAAGCAGCTGCAAAAGGGCTACATCTGGAAGAGCCCCTGTCCCAAAGCCAGGCTGCAGAGAAAGGCTGTACCTCCGGGCAGTTCCTCGTGGTCAGCTCAGTTCTGCTTTCTCCCAGGAGCTCTCCCTTCTCCCCTCTGCTCATATGTGGAGCAGGAAAAGTGAGGAACAGCRGTGTCCAGACAGCCCGGGGTCAGTGCAGGGGAAGCAGCACAGCCTTGGCACGTGGCAGGCAGGAGGAAGATGAAGAAATAAAGATAAGAGAGGACAGAGAAACATGTGGAAGACATGTGATCAGTGGCTGCTGTGCCCACACGCTTCTGTGTGTGCACAATGTACGAGTGCATTCAGGGCAGRGGCTGGGAGGCTGCAAGGAAGATTTGCCAACAGAAATCTCAGCCTGGCTTGTGTCAAACACATAACTTTCTATGCACTGTGGGYCAAACATACAAGAATGCCTCTTGCTTCTGGTAAAATCAACCACAGGAAAGGCAAGGAAGGATGTAGCGGTGGCAAAATGCAGAACCCACCATCACCCTGAAGAGCGCAACGACAAAAACTGAAAGTCAGAGCTCCCCAAAATAAACTGTCTGTGTTTGAGGGTTGGAACAGCAAAAAGGGGAACTCTCAGTCTTGATTCTGCCACTGCAGAGGGACCAAAAAGCTGTAACTAGAGCAAGTGGTCATCAGGAAGTGTCAGGAAAGTGACTGAAGAGCCACACTAGTAGTAGAAAAAAGTTAAGTCAGATTAACTGTGACAGCAAAGAAAAGTTATATAAATCAGGTCAGCTAAGCCAGGAAGGCACAGGCACCAAAAAGCCACTTTGACAGCAAAGCAGGGGGTGTTTGGAGACTGAAGCCAGCAAAGGAACCCAGCAACAATGGCCTTAYTGAGGAGGGTCCATCCTTGTATCCTGCCCAACCCAGGACAAGCAGAAGGGCACACTTGGAAAGAGTTTGGGGTCAAAGATCAGCAGGACTGTGCCAAGAACTGTAGCTTTTCATTAGCAGAGGCCACAGAAAGGCCCTAAATTGCCTGCCCTTCCATTGCTTTGTTTTGATATGGGGCCTGACATGGGTGCAAAGCTATTGTAAATGCACATACTGTGTTACAGAAATGCAAGGAAAACTATCTTTTTTTTTCCCCCTTTGGTTAAAAGATGGATATTTTTACAGCATACAGAGCCAATCATGACATTTAATTTTACAGAACAGGAAGGAGCTCAGTAAATTGCTGTAAAAATATCCACCCTTATGCAACCAAAACGCCAGCTATGGATCAGGAATAGCTGTGGAGTGGCATCAGGACCTCCCCATCACCATGGATATGAACCTAGGGATAGAGCTTAACCTACACCTCAGCTAGCCATGTACTCATGGGAGTGACCTGCTGTGCAAAATGACCCCAGCAGTCACTTCATTASAGCTTTAGGCCTGTATTCCACTGCCCCAAACCATGTTTTCCATGTCACAGATCCTGTTGAGTAATTTAACACAAACCATAGGCAGAAGACATAAAATACCGACATTTTGATTTGTCAGGCATTTTAATTTTCATTGTAAGCATTCAGACAATGAGTAAATAGTCCTACAAGGTAAGGAGCTGCAGATGCACTCTAAAAATACTGTAATCTTTGATGGGTATCTTATGTACACACAGCAAGAGAGTAGAACATGGTCAACCACAACAACAACATAATAACAAAACTTACTTATTTAAATGTGCTGCAAGCACACCAGCATAACCCAGTAACTGTTTTTTTGCATTCCCTGCTTGAAAGAAACATTGCATAATACTACTGTGACTATAGATTGCTTTTCTTTCTTTTTTCCACCAAGTATTCAATTCCTAACAACACTTAATAAATATAAGTAATGAAGAACACTCCTGGTGCCCATGTATTTATTTCTTCTTCCTTAGGAAATGTGCTTTTTTTTTTTTTTTAAATTTGGCCCTTATATGAAATACCAAATTCACTAATTTATGATATAACCAAGAAGTTTGTGGTCCTTACTCTTTTAATGACAAAAAAACTTTTCAATACTCTGAACATAATTGAAAGATAAACTATTTTTGACACCAACTACTCTGAAGAATAAATAGCCCATTAAATAAAAACCTTCAGTGTACATTCTACCTTTACCAGGGAAGTGAAAGTGATCAGAAACAGCTTGAGGGCACAACAGCAAAATTCAAAAGAAGAAAGCAGTGAAAATGCCCAATTATTTTTATTGCCAAAGTAATACATCTAAAATAATAGTAATCTTCTGAAATCAACTTCACTTGGAATCACAGCTGAAGGCACGATTTAAAATATACCAATAATGGTAACACAATTTATGATTTAATTTATATGAATGATCTGTTAATTAATTATCTGAGCAGGGGATGCCTCTCAAGGTTGCTCCTCAAGACTGAGAGATTCTTTACCACAACAGATTCTTGGTAAGTGGTTATAGCATGCTAAACTCTCAAACCTTAGCTAAATKATATAAAGGATTGACTGTGTGCATATAATCCTTTAGACACAGACTGTTGGGCAAGTCTGGRATTAAGTCTGGATCCAGYTGCACCTAAACACCCCTTTGAGRAGGAGTTTAGAATGCAAGGGGGCCCTTCCTGAACATCATGACTCAACAGGAGGGTCTCCCTGACAGTTTTGGCTGAGCCTGTCCTGTATGCAGTAAATAATCAAGTGTGCCTTGCCATTGAATCTTATCAACCCACTGTCACATTTGCTATCAAGCTCTGTTTTTTATCAATATACATATTGTTACTTCTCTCTTACAACCGAAGTGCATCACCTGTGACAATGTGTAAACCACATAAAGCTTTTCTGGAAGCCGTCACAAAACAAGTAAGACATACCTGATGTGCCAAAATATAGATATTATGGCCAACATCTTTTGGGGAGATGCCATCATCTCCATTCTCCTCCTCGTGGTCACATTCCAGACCCTGGTTGTATGCATTCTTCATCACATCCACCTGCAACACAAACCCAGCCAGGAAGAGATGAAATAAATGTGGTTCTTGGGGAAAAAATACACTGTGTTTGAACACAGCCACTTTGTTCAGCTCCAGCCTGGATGGGTGCCCTGCGGTTCTGCAAGAAGAGCGAGCAGCCTGAGAAACACGTTCTGAATAAAGACAAGCTTGAAGGATTTATGAAGCTCCAAACCGCTACATTTTTCATCAGCAACCATGAGAAAGGAACAGGAATGCTGAGCCTTTCTGAGCAAGCATTTTCATAAATGCTCCTAAAGACTGGTCTAGATATGGCAGGTAGTGCAGCCATGATCTTCCTCTGGCCAGAGCAGGCAGAAACACAATTTCACAGGAAAAAATACATCCCTAAATCAAAAGATAAGGAGGATCTGGGCAGAGTGCTGTGGAAATTCCAAATATTTAAAGCCTTCTACAGGACCAACATGGGGTTCCCCACAGAAGGCCTGATCCTGCAGTTGTACCCTAGGGATGGCCTCAGCCTGCTGAGATGTTTCCTTTGTGATGATTCCCTGAAACCAGCAGGCACTGGGCTCTGCCTGAAGGCAGGATGCCCTCAGATACCTCCCCAAAATTCCTCAAGAATTCCCAGATCTCTCAGTCTCTGTTGTTACACTGTCACTTGCATTGGAAACAACTCCAGATTTTCAATCCATTTAAAGTTCCTGGAGACTTCCACAAACATCAGGGTTGCTCCAAAACACAGCAACATCTGTTTGGAGCTGTCTTTGTTCATGAGGCATAAATAGATAACGCACATATATATTAAATATATTCAGTGCCTACACACACATTTCTGTTAGCACTGCTTCACAAACTGTACAAGCTTAATTTGCCAGCCCCTGACAAACTGCACTTGAAGACAGTCTACCAGAGTATGATAATTTAGTTAGGAAACAATTACAGAAAAGTGCTTGGAATGGATAAAAATAATGAAGTCGTAAAGACTGAAATCATGCATGCTTGATCTTTTTAAAGTACTTTTTGTGAATTAGTACTATCCTGATACATTGTGCCACCATACGCTGCCAACACTTTTCAGCTTAGATGCAGATCATTTTAAAAATGTTTTAATGACAGATTTTTTCGGCCAAAAGATTTATGAATATTCACAAGTTTTCTCACCAGTTCTCTTGGTCTCATGTTGAAAAGGATTCTTTCCGCATTCTCGCTGTCTTGCCTGCTTTCCATAATAGCCAGCAAAAGCTTGGAGGCATTGTTCTACAGATACAAAACCAAATTAATGCAAATTTTCAATCTCTTTCATGGATTAATGACCCTTGCATTTGTTTTAGTTGAGATTATGAGGACCACTCTTTTAGTGGATAAGATTTTCAACTACTTGCATCTTTTATTTTACTGACATATTTAATAGAGTTTTTTTAATGTCAACATACTGTTACAGTAACTCTGCACACTATATTGGAAGAAAAATTTTAAACACTGAAAAAATATTTTACTTAAATACAGAGTCTTGCTGCAGACTGTGCACAAGAAATTAAATTCCATTCCCTTTCCTTATTGCCCACCTAGCAATTTTTGCCTCGGCTTTCAGTTAAAACAAGACTCAGCAGAGGGAATTACAAAACTTATTACACAAAAGGTTTTATCATTCAGGTAGGTTTCCTTCCCCTTTGGTTTTTATGAAATCCAACTGGGTATTATTGAAAGGCTGTAAAATAAACTGTTTTCACTGCTCCTGAGATTTTGTTTCACCACTAAATATTCCTGGGGAAATGTATAAAGACAACCTTTGCTTTGTCAACTGGCTGCTTTTCTCCAAGACCTCTCCTAAGGATTAAACAGCATGAGCTTTAACAGCAGCAGCCCAGTGGTGCCTCAGACTTCAGAGACCTGTCTGTCTTCCAGTTAAATCAGCTGCTGTGATTAACTCAATGTGAAGAGGACAGGCAGAATGGTTTTGGAGGGTTGAGTCTTTTCTGGCAGAGCAGAGTTGCCTTGGTTGACCTGCCACAGCATCCCTTCATCATCCCGTTAGATTGAGCTGTCCAAACACCTGGAAGCAGGAGGCAGTCCCAAAGAACAGGCAGCRGCCAGGAAAACTCCCAACCCACCCCACAACCTCATTCTCAGCTGATATTGCTGATATTGCCAGTATCAGCAATTCCAACTGAAATTTCTCCAGTGAGGGTGTGCCTCAGACAATTGGCATGGGYAGTTTCAGAGGAAAAGGGTTCAGCTGCTTTTGGGGTGAAAAGAAAGGTGCTTTTTTGGGGTGAAAAGAAAGATGTTATTCTCTACATGTTCAAGAAACTTCTGTTTTAGCTGCCTTTGTATCCCCAAGTTTTGATAGTAGAGCTGAAAATAAAGAGCACTAGAGGCCAACAGAACAATCACGAGTTGTTGTATCCCAGCTAAACACGTCCAGCTCAGAAGCATTTTATAAATTACAATTTGAGCACTATAAAGCAGAAACACACTAATTTTATAGCTAAAAGCCCACACAGTGTGCACAGAATCACAGAACTGTGCTGGCTGGATCATGAAACCACTACTAAAGGCTCCCCTCCGGACTATGGTTTCAGCAGTCCAACCCCAGCTCAAAGCAGGCTGTGTTAAACTGGGCTTTAAACACCTCTGACTGGAGGACTGAGGGATGAGACAGAAGGTAGATGGAAGGAGAATAGATTAGAATGAAGACTGGCACACAACTGGCGAATAAGAAACTTCTGGGAGAAGAGCCTGAGAGTTGAGTGACAGTCCAGGACAGAGAAGCCTGGACTTGCCAACACAGGGATGAGAAAAGGATAAAGAACAATATATGAGAAGACCTAACTGGGACTGGCTCAAAGAGAACAGCACTCCATATTTTGCCATTTCCTTGTCCTTTTGCTTCCAAATCAAATCAGGACCATCTATGGGAAAGATCTAATCAGACTCCTTACCCCGCAACCAACACTGCAGAAATTTTATGTGCATAGTGAACAAGAACAGGTGGAGGGGRAGGACAGCATTTCGATGAGGATTCCTAGTGGGATGCTGCTCTGAAAAGCAGGATGCTTCCTCTTCTGCTGCAGTTTTGCCTTACAGTGGTGACCAAGTGAGTTGTGGTAGCACTGACAGGACCTCAAATGGAGGAGGAGGGAAGGGGCCATGACAGCTCCCAGGTAGCTTGAGGAGTAAAGAGAAGAAACAGGTGGAAGGCATCAATCTACTCACTCATGGGTGATGAGGACTTGGAAGCTATTTCCCAGAGCAGATAACCCTGGGGATGGAGAGAAGCCTGCTGTAGCTTCCAGGAAGCTGGGAAAGGTAAAGTTTGGGCASGACTTTGTGTCATCAACAGCCAGCTTCTTGCTACCAACTCAGCAAAAGTGGCATGCCATGGCCTAGAATTACAGCAGGCATCTGAGATAGTTATTTGACTATTTATTCCTCACTTTCTGCACATTTGRAGACCCTAGGATCTGATTTTTAATCCCAGATATCAGTGAGGAAAAGAAGTCCATTACTTGGAAAGCAGCACAAAGTTACACATTAATAYTGTGAAAAATCAGTTTCCAGGTGCTACAAAACAGGACAGCCCAAAGTACTTCTGGTCKTCTTTCACTTTTACCTGCATTCCCACCTCATCTCCTCACAAAAATTTCAGAAAAATAAATTAATGAGTGAAGCAACTGGATATAGCTATGAGAAAGAACAAGAAGACACTGAACTGGACTCTCTCTACCCTTAGACTGACAATGTCTCTTCACCCTGTGCAGATGTGGCAGGTATTGAGGTCTCACTGTGTGCCAGGGCTTACACACCAGTCACAAAGGAAGGCACAAGGTCACACTCAAAATAAAAGGAGGCAGAATAGAACACTGGCCATCTGTGCACTCAGCGAACGCGGTCTGCTCTGCTCACTAAATGACTCAGGAGTCCACTGGAAAATATAATCCATGGAGATGTAATTAAATACCACATCAAAAACTATGTGCAAAACAAGCTAAACTAAGATGGCATGGGAAAAACAATTCTGCATTGCCTTTCCTTTGGTTGGGGGTGTAAGTTCCACATACAATGTTCCCTTAAAGCAGTGTCTAGGCTTGTTTGTAAGTGTAAATGTATGGGTCTATATACTTGCATTTTGACTGAAAGAAATGGTGATTTGCAGCTTCAGAGTTGYCCATGAACACTGACAGAGTGTCAATGTTAAACGTGACTCGGTAAACTCAGTGCTTTATTATTTCAATGTGTTGCCACTCAAAATCAAAACCAGCAGCTTCTTAATTTGGATCCAGTTCTTGAGATGAGACCTGGCCGAGCAATGTGTCCAGTTCCAAGCTCCTCAGTATAAGAATGATACTGACTTAATGGAATGAGGCAAAAGACATGAAGGTGATGAAGGGAATGGAACAKTTTTCATATAAGGAGCCACTGAAAGTTGTGACTGTTCAGCTGGGAAACAGATGGCTTTGATGGATCTCATCAACGTGCAGAAATAGCTGGTGGGAGGAAATGTAGAGGAGGGTGCCAGACCCCTCTCAGCAGTGTCCAGTCAGAGGGCAAGAGATCAAATAAGATATCCATGAAATTCTGTCGAAACACAGATATAATTTTATACTGTGAGAGGGACCAAACAGTGGAAGAGGTTGCCCAAAATGGTTGTGGAGTCTCCAGCTKTGGAGGTATTCATCTGGACATGGCCTGGGAAACCTGCTCTAGCTGACACTGCTGGAGCTGGGGGTTGGACAAGGTTACCTCAAGACAACCCTGATAAAATAAATTACTGTGGTTGTGCAAAATCGGAATAATTTCTGTAGTTGGAACCTCTGCTATCATTCACCACAATTTTTAAGTAAGTCTGAGCAAAGACAGCCTCCTGTGAACAGGGTCACATCGGTCCTCGCAGAGATGTCTCTAAACTCCATTTTTTGTTACTACACAGAAAAGTTGTTCTACAAGCATTTGCTCGTTTCATGACAATGGCAAATCAAAATGGCACTGGAGTGAACACAGCTACATCTTTACAGAGACTGAAATCTGGACATCAAAAGAACTGTCTGCATGTTCAAAGTTAAATGTCTGTCTAAGTGTTTTGCTAGAGGGGGGCCTGAATTACATTGCCATTCAAAAATGTAATTACAGTTATTAAAATCACATGTAAAGCACTGTTTATTCGATGTTTCATTGTACATGATATATAGCTATATTAATTATTTTATTAGACACGTGTAAACGTTGCCAATATCATGCAATGCAGCTACCACAAAGTATTTGCTGGTTTGGGGAGGAAACAGACCATCTGCAATGGAAATACTTAATTTGGGAGGCAAAAAAAAGAAATTACCCAGGGCTCCTCCTGAACAGATTCTACCCTACTTGGCAGACAGCACAGCTGCAGAGCTCCCCTCTGCATGCAGTGGCACACAGGCATGAGAAACTCACCTACAAGCCTGTCYAACTCTGCCCAGAATACAGAACAAAATTACATTACAAGCTCTCCCACTCTAGTCTTTGCCCTCACACTCTACACTTCRTGTTTCTCCTCAGAGGACACTGAGAAGGGAAATAAAATACTATTTACTTGAACTTTGTTTTCAACTTTATTTGACATTGCAGGTCATCTGATGTATTATTCTTTTTCACAACATTTCCTTCTCAAGTAATTTTTAAGAGTTCAGTATACACAGGGAATGCCTGACCTGTTGGATGCCTGCACAGCGTGGCTCTTTATCAGTCTTGAGAGATTTTATATCCACAATACAGACTTTTCATGCCAGCTATGTCATGCCTGCTTGATAGGATTTTTTAAAAAAAACTGAGGGCATCCTCCCAAACACAGCAGTGGGTCAAAAGGCCTGTGGCAGAGGGTCTGATAAGGATTCAGAAGCTGAGCTGAATTCATTTGCAAGGTCTTTTTTTCCAAAGGCTTCTGAGTATATTACACCATGGTAAGATTAAGTAAATGCCAGGCTGCCTGGAGCTCCCACATAGGTATGTCTTCTATTGTTACCCAAATTCAAATAAACAAATTCACATATACCRTACCTTGAGCTGAAGCACCAAGTCCATGCAGTATTTGCCAAGAGGGTTTATATCATTCAAGATGAGAGCAATTATAATATCAATCCCATTAGACTCATGGGTGGCTATGCATGTCTGCAAAATAAGAAGAGAGGAGAATGGGACAGGGGCAGGAGAGAAGGAGGGAARGAGTGGGAAAACGAGGGAGATAGACAGCCAGAGGGAGGGAGAGAATATGCACATCAGCAAATTCCCAGAACTAATAAAGACTTTGCAACAGCAATGAACCTTTCAGCCAAAGCAGAACAGCCTAAAAACATGCCACAAGAAGTGCTGGGGAAAACTTGTGTGGTACAGAACTAACCCAAACACTGCCAGTAGTGAAATACCCAACTGGAAAAAAGGTGGTGCAAGCTAAAATCTGCTCCCAGTGAACCCYGCAGGGCTTGGCACCAAGCGGTACAAGTTACAGACAGCACTGCTCAGGAGCACTGCCAGATTCAGCTGAGCACATGCCAGCCTCAGACATAAAAGCCTTGCTCCTCTGCAGGCACAATCGAATTTGCACGCTCAAATTCTTCATTTGCCCTCAGCAGCCAGCATTAATATTGCTGTTATAGCACAAAGTGCTTGTGAACATCAAGGTTCTCTCATGCATCTGGATGTGTCCTGTACAGAAGAAGATTTCTGGATATGGAATTCAAAGCTGTATTTATGACCAGTTGTACTTCCCCAATGCCTTTGCAGATCGAGTTCTGGACCTTCTAGGCCTTGTGCATAGGAGTCAGTTATACAAAAGCCTGTGGCACTTCTTCTTTTGGCAGGTTTATAGGACAATAGGAAAGGAAAAGTTTTCCAGAAAGACAGAGAGAGGGGAAAAAAAGAAAATGAGAGCGTGGAGCATTTGCACCTGAAATACATTGAATTAGACTTGCAGTTGTTGTAAACAAGTGTAACTCAAATCCTGAGTGACTTCACAGCAGGTAGGTCTAAGTAATAAAGTGTAATTCATCTTCCCTTCCATATCAGTGTTCCTCCAGTGCTTCTCACGTAAATTTGTTGGAGAACACATTAACTTGTAACATTTCTTTTCAACTCCAGTCCTGTAACTATACATTTTTAACAGTCATTTTTCCAATTCATAAATTGACTGAATATGATTGTTCAAAATTTAGTCCACTAAAAGCTTTTTGTTTGTTTTTAAAATATTAAGTAAAGGCAGCTGATTACCAGCAATGGTAAYAATGGCACTTTATATTTCATTGGTGCACGTTAACGAAGAACCATTAATGTTGCATATATTTCTTATCAACTGTTTCTAGCACAAAGAACAGATTGCTTCCGTAATTTTGCTCTCTACAATTTTCCCACTGCTAATCCATAGTAAAAATTCTGCAGTTTCACCTGCACACAACTTTACTGCAGTTCTCTTCACATCAAATAATGCACCCTTTAACTACATCCTTTACCTTTCTATACTTCTTCAGCAYGGCACTAAAGACATTTTACCAAAAGTCACATCTTTGTGATTTCAAAAGACTGCAGAGGGCAAAGCACAGATCAGAAACATGGTCTTCAATCTCATCCATTTCACTAGTGATGTCATAACCAAAGATGCTGCTAGGTGCTATAGCAGGATRGCAAGCCAAACTTTGTGGCAGTTAAGTGAAATAAGGAAAGAAAATATTAGCAATGTGTATAAACACCAGCAAGGGCAAAATGTATGAAAAGGAGGAACACAAGTCTGTGTTTGCAATGCACTTCCAAAACTGTGACTCCAAACCAGGCTCACAAAGTGAGGTTTAAGCCATGGACACACCAATTTAAAACATTAAACTCTCTTCAGAAGGACTGCAAACCCTCAGAGGAAGAAGAGGTACCACAGGAAGTGTCTGTTTTGAGTTCTGACTTAAAAAGGTCACTTAGGACTTACGAAAGCTTGAAGCATGTTAAATCTAGTCATAGCAGCTACAAGTAAATTAATATTCAGGAATTAGGAATACCGAAAGGTTTGTGAGAAGATAGAGTCCTCTGCAGATACAGTCCTCTGCACCCAGAGCTTATTGGAGCCCTACCTGGTTTTCATGGCACGGGCCCTGGCAATATTCTGTCAAGCTTTCCAGTGTCTGGTTGACAAGAGCCACGTTCCTCTCATTGATGTAAAGCCCCAGTAAGCCCAGCCCACCTGTGGTGCTGCCACAGATGCAGTCCAGAAACTGAAGGGTCTCACAAACGAGGTTGTAATTTGTTTTATTGTTTTGATGTCTTAAAAAGTTCTGGTGGATGGAGAAAAGGAACACACATACATTAGAAAAAAAAAAAAAAAAAAAAAAAAAAAAAAAAAAAAAAAAAAAAAAAAAGGTCAAGGCAAACAAAGTCTTTTTTTCAAGAAAACATAGAAGGGTACAATTTATGACCATATGACCACTGTGTCTCAGGTACTGAAGTACACTGCACTACTCCAGAGAATATGTTAGGCCTTAATGCAGTAGTTGAGAACTATTATCTGATTAAATCATAGAGCAAGGAGGATTTGGGAAAGTGAACTTGGCAAACCTCTGCACGGGCCTTAAATGTCTTTTAACTGTCCTGCTCCCATCCACCTATCACAGCCCTTCTCTTGGAAGTTCAYTGCCCCACAGCTGAGCAGGTCTGGTGGCTCATTATGGTTGGTCCTTGGCAGAACAGCAGCTCAGCTCAAACCCCAACCATTCCTTGAAGGGAGGCTCCTGGCCACAACACTGAGGTATGTTTGCAGAAAATACACTTTGTAAAGGTTGCTATGGGGACAGTAATTTCTACCAAAAGACCTGACAGCAGGGATACACATAACATCTTAAAGCCTACAATCATAACACCTTGGGAAAAGAGCAGCACCCAAACACTGCCCAGAAACTTCGTGACAGAAACACTGCCCAGAAACTTCGTGACAGAAACACTGCCCAGAAACTTCAGGTCTGCGGTAAGTGATCCAACATTTGTGCACAGGAACCTCACTTACAGAGACATTTAGATCCTTCTCAGCTCCATATGGCTGTGCTGAGATCCTCAAGCAATTCTGAGGACATAAAAACATGCTCCACCACAGCACCCAAATGGTTCTTGAAAAGGGTTATTTTATCCCTTGGATGAAAAAAACATTTTAGACACCTCTATTCTGTAACAGGAGCCAGGCAAAGGTGTGGGGTTCTTTCCCTTATGAAGCTTCAGCCCCTCTAATAACAACCCTATAAAAGCTCAGCTCAAAACACTTTACCTGGAGCTCTCGGTTRTGGTTCTCACACAGCAGCTGAAGAAATCTCAATATTGGCTGCATGATTGCAATGGCAGGGCTCATGATTGTTTCTTCTGGGGATTTCTCTTCTGCATTTGCAGCATCTGCTCCTGAGCCCATCAGATCTATTTCTGGGTCCATTTCTCTTCTGTACACAGAGTAAGCCTTGGAGGTTGCAGAAGATGCTTCTGTTAACTGTCCTTTCATACCCTCTTTCAGATGCAGGGTTGAATCCTTAACTGAAAATAAGATAATTCTCCTTMATTTTTGAAAGTCTTTCTCCCCATTTGATTAAACAATAAGGAAACAACAATAATGAATGCAACTTTTTCTTTGTTGGTGCCTAACTTTTTGAAGACCTCTAGGCAAGTCACAAAGAATATCAAAGCAACATTCATGCATGTTCCAAATAAACCACAAACCAGAGTGAAACAGARCATTAACACAAAACGCCCTACTATTTCTCTCCCATATACAATAAATGATGAGAACAATGGGAAGACCACAGCGTGGGAAATCAGTTCCTGCGCTTGCTCTTGTGAAATAGCCCCATTAGCAGCAGCCTCTGCTTGTGYTCCTCTGAAAACATGGTTCTGTATCTTTTATTTATGAAAACTGGCAGAGTTTCACCAATTTCATCAAAGCTAATTCCTTGTAGCCAACCTGAGATGGACTATAATTCAGAGAAAAAGAGGCAAAAGATGCAAAATAGCAATGATTAATATTAAAGTAGATTGATCAACTCCACAACAGTGGTAGGGCCCATGAAGTGTCAACATAATGCACTTCTCCCCTCTTTCACAGGGRTGCCTCCTTACCTCTCTTTTTGGGAACAGATATGGTTAGGTCACTGTCATCCTCTTTCTTTTTGCTCCCCAAATCAATAGTGTTCACTGTCACTGTGGATCGTATCTCCTGCTGAGCAGCTTTCATGCGATCATACAGCACTTTAAAGAACCTTTCTGACTTTTTCTGCTCCTTTAGTTGCTGGTAAGTCGAATACTGCAAAAAAAATTCTTTAGATATCAGTCTTCTAAGGAAGAAGAAATACAAAAATACACTGTTTCTTTTTGCTGAAACAAATGATGAATAATTACTTCACTTACACAGAACAAATGTTGGCCACTGCCTGACCAGTTCTTTCATGAAGTGATATACAAGGCTGGTAACAAAGATTGATGATAATGTTTTAAAATTTGGGAAAAATARTGAACAGTGCTATTTGCAATCTTTTAAATGTCACAATATTATACTTGAAGTTGAATTACTTTGTGACGCYCTCCATTACTCAGGCTTACTACAGTCATAATATTCCAACTACAAACAAYAGTGAAAAGTAACTTAYTATGTAACAACAAGAGGAAGCATGGAACATCTAATATRTAATATTACAGCTTGGATTATATTMATTTTTTTGTGCTACAGACAAAGTTTAATATTAAATAATATTTTAGCTTAATTCCAGTCCCTTAGTATAATTGTCAGGCAGGCTGAGTACCACTTGCAATAGTTTACAAACAATCCCAGTTCTCCCAGCCTTCCCTCTCGTACCTCAACTTTACCTCTCTTTCCTCAACTATTTGATTTGGCTAAATCTGGGTGAGAAGGATATAATTCACAGAAAAACTGGAATCCATAGTTTAAAGCACATATTTTCTATGGACTGAGACACTGGTGTTCTCAAATGACCAGTCTTTTGCTCCTTGGAGATATGATAAATGTCTCTGAAGGTTTCCAGAAAATAATTTGTTATTATAAACTTGTATTATAATATTTTATTTTTACAAAGAGTGGCATAAAATAACTGGGGATAATACCCACATGGCAATGACCAAATTAAAAGAAGTACAGTGCTACACAGAAAGGGACAGCTGAAAAACATTTTCTTCTACTGAAGTCTCCACTATGAGCKACTGCATAGTAATAGTGCATATTTACATTTGTATTACAGGGATACATTTTACAGCGACAAACTTTTCACAGAACTCACAGCAAAAAGGTTCTCTTTATTTGTCTCCAGACCACATGCATCTGAGAATCAATATGTGAATAAGCACATTAAATAAGTACCTGTGTTTGCGTATTTCCACCTTCGAGCAAGGCAATACCCAGCAGAATGCCTTCTGAGAAAATCCTGTCATTTCTGGTGTTCACTATCACATCTATGACCAGTTCTGAAGCCCCTTCTTTGTCCAGGAGGCACTGGATATCAAACATGGTCACCCCAGACTTATCTGCATCTTGTCCTGAAAATCCACCTGAAAATTAGATAAATATCATTCATGCTTGCTTCACAAACATATGTGGAAAGGAATCTATTAGAAGTGATAAAGCACACAATAGCAACATAATAAATTTAATTTTGAAAATCTGTTTTAGGCAAAATTCCCTTTGATAAAAGGAAGATTTTTGTATGAAACTGCAATGTTGTGCTCTAAGAATAAGAAATAAAACAAATCTCCAAGCCATTGTTCTGTCATGATATTCAGACAATAAATAAGTAGAAATGACACTGATTTGTTCAATGAACACTTTTTTTAATTCCACTGCTGCATACACTAAACTGTGAGTAGGGTCAGTGCTCTGAAGCCACTTTTAAATCTGCTCTTCAATCTCAGGCCTAATCTATACCAAAATGGTGACCTGGTTATGGGTTTGACCTTCCGGCCAAATGCTTTTGCCAGCCCCCAGATCATCAACATCGCGATGACCTTCAAGAACACAGACTCCAGTTAATCCAAATTAAAGGTGTAGGCTGAGGAAATTTTGCTAAATTGTATTAGCTCATTAAATCAACCATCTTTTATTATCACAGATTATCATCTTTCCTGCTATACTTACTTCCATAAAGATGCAACTGCATCTACTTCATTAGTAAAAATAAGGACTGCTTTAATCAGCCAGTACTACTTTGATTAAACTGATTAAAATGGTTCAGACTTTGTGATGAAGCCATACAYACATACTTTTTAGAGAGAACTAAAAAAATGGTGAATCTTCAGTCTCTTGTTTGTAGGGTGCAAAATCTGGCATATAGGATATTAAGACTACATATTTCCAGTGTCTATATTGAAATAGCTAAGGAGGAACATCTGGGTAACATCTGGGAAAGCTGACAAATCTGGGCATGTCTTCAATGACCACTGAAAATGCAAAATGCAGTTCTGACCTGGCTCTATACCTAGCTCCTGCCTCATTCCCTATGACATCCATTATTATGGGTTTTCCTAGAAACCACCCTACACTAACTTCCCGTGGCTTCTACAGCAGAATGACACAAAACCTCTCAGGAACATGCGCTCTGTTGTCTAACCTGTTTTTCTGGGAGAAGCTTT